ATATATATATATATATATATCATTAAATTAATTATTATATATCACAAGTATTTGTCATAAAGCAGGATGAATATAGATGGTAAAGTTTTAATAATGCTATAGTTTAAAACCCTTGTTACTTTATTTTTATTTTAGATGTGATGTTTAAAATCATTCCTTGACTCAAATAAATATTAATTTTAAAAATATTCTACATTAAAATATTTTTCTTTATTAAAATTAATGTTATCGTATTTTTTTTTATCATCAATATGTAAGGATCAATATTAAAAAAATATACATGTAAGGATTTTTAAATTCACGTGTCAAATTTATCTTACGTACAATAGTGTCCATAAACTACAATGTTTTTTTTTAAATGTTTACATGTTTTTTAGACACTTGTAAAATTATGACTTTGAAATTTGAATGAATGCTTCAACTTCAAGTCAAATCTCTAAGAAAGTTTGATTCATATATATTTTAACTTAAAATTTGAAAATAATTATTTTCTTTTAATAAAATATTTTCAAAATTATTGGGGGAGATGTGATTAATTAAAATTTTTTAAAAAAATTAAATATGTACATTTTTGTTGTTGTTATAGAAATCACAAGTATAATGAGCACTTTTTTTTAATCTATTGATATCAAATTCAATATCAAAAAGATTTATAATACCTCACATTGAGCAGGAAGTGTCTCCATTTTTTTTTAAAATAAACTAAATTAAATGCATGTATATTTATTTTTATAATAGATAATACATGTATCTTTTATAAAACAATTTTTTTTAGGTCAAGTAGAATCATTATCAACTGCGAAATCTTTCTCTTATTATTTAAAGTAATTGCAAACTTAAGACTTAGACTTATAGGATTGTACACCCTATTAAATGTTATATTGTTTTATCTTATTTATGATATTATATTATATTTATATATGTATGCTATCATATTTATTTTATATAATTATTTAAATAGATGATATAGTGTGAATATGACTATAAATATCAAAATTGAGATTTTATAATTAAATATGTTAAAGGAATAAATATGTTTTCAAAAACATTGCATCATATACAAATCTATAGTTTAAACTACTTTCTAGTTGCGTCTTAGTGATTAAATTCTAATATTCTTAAAGATGTCTCGTGTACTTTGAAACTCAAACTTATTATAGTTTTGTGGTTAAAACCCTATTTTGGTTCCTTATAATCTTTTTTTGTTTCAATTTAGTCCTTCATTAATTTTTAGTCTCAATTTGGTCCCAAATTAATTAATTGGTTTCAATTTAGTCCTAAATTAATTAATTGGTTTCAATGTGAGACTTTCCGTCCAAATTGCTTTAACGGTGTTAACTTTTGGCCACGTGGACACCACGTAGATGCATACGTGGCATCCACGTCGATGAGAATTTTTTTGAAAACACCTGGACCCAGAACGGCCCGTTCTGAAACCGGAACAGGCCGTTCTGGTTGCAAAATTAAAACACCACCAGTGAAGCAGAACGGACCGTTCTGGTTTCAGAACGGCCCGTTCCAGAACTATGAATAAAATATTCTTTACTTAATTGTGTTTTTGATATTATAATTATGCAATTTTGATCTCTAAGGTTTTAATTGAGTAATTTCAGTCGTTAAAAGATTATAATTGTGTAATTTTAGTCTCACAATTTTTAATTGAACAATTTTAATCTCTCAAATATCATAATTGTGGAATTTTAGTCTTTCTCATTAAAAATTTAATAATTTTAAAATTTTAATATATATATAATGTTTTAAAACTATATAATTGTTTGTTTATTTAAATTAATGTATATTATTTTTTTTAATGTATCAAATGATATATATTTACTATTACTAAATAAATAAAATTTATATATTATTAGTATTTTAATATTACTGATAAATTAATATCAATAATATTTTTACCCTTTTTATAAATAAACTAATAATTTGATAAATATAACTTAATATATATTAATATACTTTTACAAAAATATAAATATATAAGATCAGATATATATTTCTAATTAATATACTTATATTTTTGTAAAAGTATATTAATATATAACAAGTTATATTTATCAAATTATTAGTTTATCTATAAATATATTAATAATATTATTGATATAATATCGAAAATTATAATATACGTTAATTTGAATAGATAAATAATTATTTAATTTTAAAACATTATATATATATATATATATATTAAAATTATTAATTTTTAATGGGAGAAACAAAAATCATACTATTATGATATTTGAGGGACTAAAATTGTTCAATTAAAAATTGAAGGACCAAAATCGCGCAATTGCAATTCTTTAAGGACTAAAATTATGCAATTAAAATCTTGGAGATCACAAAACTGCACAATTGTAATACTTGAGGGATAAAAAATGCAATTAAACCAATATTCTTAATTAATTTTATTAAAAAATATAATAATTAATAAGATAAAAGGAATATCACTTTATAATTTTTTGCAACTTATTTAAGATTAAAGGAATAAAATGATAAAAATTAATAAGATAAACATAATAAAATAAA